AAAGGAACCTATCACCTTGACCTCCCAAAGTGCTGGGATTACAGATGTGAGGCATAGCACCTGGCCCCAGTTGTTTAATTAAATAAAAAAGGACTATCAAGAATCCCAGGCACCTCTATTACTCTATACAAAGGCTACTCTTCTCATAAAAATGCACCACACTTTTACCATCACCACTAATCACCATTCTAAACACTTGCTAGATACCAAAACTTCACTAAGAGTTGCATAAGATAAAATGATTCATGTTCCACCCACCAACCTCATTCCTCTCCAAGGCTGAGGTACAACCTTTTCAATGCTGATGTCTTGCTTCTGCCCTGACTTTAACATTTTGGGCGTGAAAATTACAAGTGAAAAACGTTACGACGTTTTACTATTTAAAAATCACGGCCTTTTAAAATGACGTAAAAGCAGGGAATTTTTCCGCACACAAGGTTTTCAATCCATTACCATATTCAAAGAACAGATCAGTCAGGCCAAGTCTTTCAAGCACATATTTGGATGTCACTGATTGATTTAATAGAGTAATACTGTTCATCTGGTCACTCCTCAACTATTTTCACTTATTTCTTTTAGAAAGAGGGAAAGATGCTCCCAAAATACTTACACTTGACTTGTCCCCCAGTCACATAAAATTTCGTTTAACAAATATTTAATGCTTACTATGTCTGAGGCACTGTGCCAGAGTAAGGACAGCGAACAAGAAAGGTGGGTCCCTGCTCTCAAGACATTTCTAATCTGAAGGAGGTCAGTATAATAAGCAAACTGATTAACAAAACGATCTCAGAAAGCAATGAATGCAATGAATGGCAACAAGATAATAATGCTCTCTAAGGGGGAAAATAGTTGAGCCACAACCTGTTTGTGATAAGAAGCAGCTGGTCCCACTGCAGCAAAATTCTTCTTACAATGAAAATGAAGACACTACATAGCCAAGACAATTCACGTACACAGAGACAAAATTACTCAAGATTCTAAAATATGCCTTTTCCCTAACACACTGTGAATTGATCAATGTTAGACACTCCTTCCAATTGGTTCAGAAAAAAATAAATCATGAGAATAAATAACTGTACTACCAAGTACAAAATAGACCACTAGATAGACAATCTGGAAGAATTTTGGTGCCATAAATTCAGTCACCTGGATCCAGGAAGGAAGAGAAAAGATAACCCAGGACTGTCCAGGAGTAACCTGGCTACCTCTCCTGACAGGATTGATTACAAAACAGGTACCTCACTGAGAAACTGAAGAAAGCAGCCCTCCGGGGCTGCAGAGAACACAATGTCTTCAAGAGGGTTGAACCAGGAAAACAGCCTGGGATCCTGCCAAGCCAGTCCTTCCTTCCTGAGGGGGCGCCAAGGTCTTTCCATGACGCAGCCTCCAGCTCCTCCTGCCTCCTCATGTCCCCAGACCTCTGCATTAAGCATTAGATGTTGGTCCCCATTTTGAAGGTCAGCAAATCAAGAGCAGGTACATGAAAGAAGTAGGGTTTTAACAGAGGCAATTCTTCCGTTTTTGGAAGCTGGAGAAATTATGCAAAATAAACATGTTCTAGAAGCAGCAGAGAAAAACTGACAGTGATAATTTAGAAAATGAGACCATGTCCAAAAATCAGAAACTAATTGGTTTTATTGTGATTTCATTTTTTCTATGCTTCTACTGGCATAAATATTTTCTGCACTAAAGAGGAAATGTAGTTTTCAAGAGTCAGAGTTGGCTCAACTGAAATTCTGTCATTTACTAGCATCTTACTTAACATCTTCAGTAAAACATGGATAAGTCCTTATCGGTTTTTTCCCCACAGCTTTATTCAGGTATAATTGTCATATAGTGACATACACATACTTAAAGTGAACTATTTGATAAGCTTTGACATATGTATATAACTGTGAAACCACTGCCACAATCAGAATAATAAATATATTCATCTCTCCTAAAAGTTTCTGCCTCCTTTGTAATCCACCCCTCCCTCACCTCCACTCCCCATTTTTAGACAACCACTGATCTGCTTCCTGTCACTATAGACTCCTTTTCGTTTCTAGAATTTTGCATAAGTGAAATTGTACTTTTTTGTCTAGCTTCTTTCATTCAGCATAATTATTCGAGATTCATGTCTGTTGTTACACGTGCTCATCTTTTATTGCTGGGTAATATTGCACTGTATGGATAAGCCATAATTGTTTAAACATACATCTGTTGATTGACATTTGAGTTGTTTCCAGTTTGGGGGTTATTACAAATAAAGATGCTATGAACATTCATGGACAAGCCTTTGTATGAATGGTTCCATTTCTCTTAGTAAATGCTAAAGAGTAGGTTATATGGTAGGCATATGTTTCATAGTTTAAGAAACTGTCAAACGATTTTTCAACATGATTGTACCCATTTTACATTCCTCACAGTCACATATGAGAGTTCCAGGTGCTCCACTTCCTCACCAACACTCGGTATGGTCAGTCTTATTAATTTTAGTCTTTCTAGTGGGAGCATATTGAGATCTCATTTTGGTTTTAATTTGCATTTATCCTTAATGACTCATGATTTTGAGCATCTTTTAATCTGCTATTTGGCATGAAGGGGAGTGCCTATTCAAATATTTGACAAGTTACAAGTCCTTTGGTGGATTTTTAAATTAGGTATTTTTCTCATTATTATTGTGCTGTTAGAGTTCTTTTGCATATTCATGTTACCTGTCTTTCATTTACATGTTCCAGTTATTTTCTCCCATTTGTGGCTCGGGTTTTCATTTTCTTAAACATCCTCTGGGAAGCAATAGTTTTTCATTTTGATAAAGTCCAACGTACTGATTTTTTTATAGCTGATGCCTTTTGTACACTATCTAAAAAATTTTTGCTGAACCCAACCAAGGTCACTAACATTTTCTTCCTTTCTTATAGAAGTTTCACAGTTAAACTCTTACATTTAGGTCTATAATCCATTTTGAATTAATGTCTTTGTATGATATAAGGTAAGTGCAAAGGCTCATATTTCTACATGTGGCTATCCAGTTGTTCAAGCACCATTAGTTGAAAAGATTATCATTTCCCCAACTGAGTTGCCTTCTTGGCAGCTTTATCAGAAATCAGTGGATCATATACGTGTGGCTCTATTTCTAGTCATTCCACTGATCTGTATGACTCTCTTTACTCCAATACCACATTATCTTGATTATGGTCATGTTACAGCTAGCCTTGAAATCAGATAGGGTAAGTCCCTCAACTTGTTCTTTTTCAAAACTATTCTTAGACTGGTCTCAGTACACTTTACATTGCCATATAAATTTCAAAGTCAGTCTGTCAATTTCTACAACAAACTTAGATTTGGATTGAGATTACATTGAATCTATTGAATACTTCGGGAAGAATTGAGATCTTAACCATATTGAATTCTCTCATCCATAACCTACAGCTAAGAGCTTCTCATGATCTAGCAAAAACTAAGTCACTAGGTTTTGGGGGGTTTTTTGAACCTGCTACTTCAAGAAAGAATTTTTGTTTTGTTTTGTTTTGTTTTTAAGTCAGTAATCTGTAGTTCCACTTGCAACACACAAATTTATTTTGGAGTAAATTCAATTATTCCACATGTAACTGAATAAACTACACAAGTCAATTTAACATACTAAAGATAAATAAGTATTTACGTAATCTTGAATTCCAAAAGCACCTTTGGGCCAGGTGTAGTGGCTCACACCTGTAATCCCAGCACTTTGGGAGGTCGAAGTAGGAGGACGGCTTGAGGCCAAGAATTCAAGACCAGCCTGCTCAAAAAGATAGCAAGATTTCATCTCTATTTTTCTTCAAGCATTTTTGAAACTATAAAGGATAATTACTTAAAAACAAGCATGCATTCTATATATTTCCCAATATTTTCTTAACAAGATTTTTTTAAAAGTAAACAAAAAAGGAACAACACTCTGCTCATCCTTTCTACCCTATCCTCACAGTTCCAAAATACCGAAAACCTTTTCAAAAAACAAACAAACAAAAATCTGCCCTCTAATGTAAACAAATGCATGACAAATCATTTCCCAAAACCTTAAAAAAAAAAAAAAAAAACAGAAAAAGCTCTGCCCTCTGATGTATAAAAATGCATAACAAAGCATCATTTAAATGTCATCTAGAGGTCATTTAAATGCTGAACTTCTCCACCAACCAAACACTCGCATTTTCCAAAACACCACCAGTGGGTTATATTAAACATCTAAGTGCAATTATTTCAGACCATTATGAATACTGAAATCTCATTTACATTGAATCTTTTATTTATCCAGTGGAACAATAAGCAGCTCTATACATGCCACCTAGTCAGGTAACTGGATCTTCCTACACTCATGCTTCTTAGACACCAAGAAGTCCTCACCTTTTGGCCTTCATGTAGGTCACAGTTTCTCTACCTTGACTGCACTCTGAAATCACCTGCGAAGCCTTAAAGTAAAGATGATGAGGTCCCACAGCCAGAGATTCCTATCCAGAGTCTTTAAAAGAGAGAATTTTTTTAAGATCCCTGGGTAATTCAAGTGGGTAGATTACATTTGAGAAGGACGAGTCTTGGCTCTCTGGGAAGGGATGCTTCTCATGGCCATTGGCCAAGCTGCACCACCATGCTTCAGAACCTAGTTCCTCTTGAGCTTTGCTCAACGTAACTCCTAATCAGGCACTAATAGAACTCAACAAATCCACTTGGATGCCTAAACTCACTTTTATTTCATATCCAGAAATTCACAGGATCAATGTAAATATCTAACTGTATTTTAGCAATTCCTCTAGTCCCCACTTCTAAGTGCCACAAAGTAAATTAGGCTGAAGACAAATTAACTCAATATAATTTGACAATTAAGGTTAAAGTCATGGTTTTGTACTTCTATTTAAAAGAAAGGAATAGCTTCATAAGACATCTTTAATTTTAGAGAATATAAGATAAAATCACCAATTCCACAAAGTATAAAATAAATACCTAAATGAGCCTTCATCACCATGCATCTGATTTCACCACTTGTAAATTTCAAACAGATTTTCAATACTGATATTGGTTTCAAAACTGACTCCCTCCAGAACTTAAAGTATTAAACTCCTGAGAGTCTTCATATAACATACTCCATTTTGCCAAACAGACCACTTTATTATAATTATCATTCCATCATCTCAAAGTGGGAATGATAACACCCGCATCACAAAGACAGTGTGAGGATTAGGCAGCAAAAGCCTGTTAGCACTGTGTAGAGTGCTCTAGAAGTTTTAATTTATTTACAGCAGAAATTTTGCCTCATGGGAACTATGTGAAAAGCAGAGGCAAGTGGGAAGCTGCGGGTAGCTACACGTCAATACCCAGGAACACCGGCAGGTGATGGGGGGAGGGAGGGCGGTCAACAACCTCCTAAGGAGTCCTCGTAGCCTCTCCTCAGACCAATAGCAGCAGAAACCCATACTGCAGGACTCCCACCTCGGACTGAGTTACCTGCAAGGATATGTAAATCTCATCTCCTTGGAAAACTGCTAAATAATAACACTGCCAACGTGCAGACCCCAGGCGCTCAGATCCCTGCCAGTGTAGTTCATGTGCCTCTGGGACTTGCAAGCCGAAACATGTGTGCACGTCTGAGCGGCTGAACCAACATGTATCCATAAACATTATGAATAATACTCGCGAGAATGTACAGCTTTCTCCTAAGTAGCGCTTGAAGCACTTTGCCTAAATCAAATTACTTTCGTATCACTCGCGTGCTGAAAGTTGGAGCTTCATGCCCAAAGACTGGGCGGAAGGGGTGACCGCCCTGGACCCCTGACCGACTTCCCATTAGGCCGAGCCGCCATCCCGAAAGGGGACAGTGTTCAGGCCAGCTTCCTGGAGACACACCTGCGCCTGCACACACCCACCTCGGTCGCGTCACCAAGGCCGAGGCCACCTGGGCGAGGACCAAAGTCTGGAGGGAATTCCCTCAGCCACGGAGCGATGGGAAAGCGGGACTCGGGTGAGTTTTGAAAAACAGAAGAGAAACGGGGTTGGGTGGACACCAAGGGAAGGGGTCACTGCTACTCACCCAGCCCTCGAAGGTGTCCGAAGCGCCGGTCGTACGCAGCAGCTCCTGGAACTGCAGGGTGCAGTTGGCCACGAAGTGGTCGTAGCCCAGGGGCGTCTCGTGGAAGACGGCCAACTCGAGGTGGCCGCCGTCGGTGACGTTGGCGCAAAACTCCTCGTTGTACGTGGGTTTGTTGGTCTTCTGCTTGGTGCTGGTCTGGCCCACGCGCACCTGGTCCACGCTCACCGTCAGGTAGGGGTCCAGCAGCTGGTGGCCTTTCTTGAAGAGCGAGTGGCGCAGGGACCAGCGGGTGGGCTGCAGCCCCACCGCCTCGCCGATGCGGACCCTCAAATAGCCATTAAACTTCATGGTTCCAGACGACATGCCGGCGCCGCTGCCCCAGCCCCGGGGGGCCGAACTGGTTCGCAGCGGGAGAGCGGGGCGTCCGGGCTCAGGCCAGCCCTCGGGGCAGCTGCAGGAGCCCGGGCAGCTCTGGGGAAAGGCAGCGCCCAAGCGCCCCTCGACCGGCCATTCTGCCTCCTCCGTGGGACTTTTCTCTCCCCTCCTTCCCTCCCTCCCGAGGTGGAAAGGAGGGGAGCCCGCTGCCGAGCCCTCAGCGGGCAGGGGAAGCCCGACCGTCCCTTCCGAGCGCGCGGCGCTTCCCGGGGGCTCACGCGGGACTCGCCCCTTCTCCAGGGCCGAGCAGCTCCTCTCTCCGGAGAGCCGGAGCGACCCGTCCGGTGAGCTCCAGCCCCAAGCGTCTCTTCCCCCGCCTCCTCCTGCTTCTCCTCCTGCCCCCGCCTCCGCAGGCTCACGCTCTCCCCCACTCGGCGAACTTCAAACCAGGAAGCAGCTGCCGCCGCCTCATCCCCGGCGAGAACCTCGCGCCTCCAGGTTCCAAGTTCACAGAACCCCTGCGCCCGCTCCCGCGCCCTCCGGACCCCGGGGGAGTGGCGCGCAGCCCGCGACCCGGCCCTGCGGTGGGTGGATCCTCGCGCACGCCCCCGTGGAGCCCAGTGCCCGCTTGCGCCGCCCTGCGCGCCCTCCTTGTAGCGCCGGGTTTGGCCATGCGCTGCGGGTTAGGGGCCACCCCGGGCGCAGGCCAAAAAGGAAAGGGTTCGTGGCTCGGCCTCAGCAAACACCGGGGGTGTAGGAGACTGGACTGGGGAGGGATGGAAGGTTGGGAGGATGCAGAGGAGGCACTCCAACGAGGAACCCGCGCGTTGACGAGTCGCCCGCCCCTCTCTCCCAGCCTCCCCGGTGGGCTGGTGACCCTGCGGGACCGTCCCCAAGAGGCCCTGGCCGGAGGTGGGCGCAGGGCGGGGAGATTCTTTTTCCTAAACTTTACAGGGATAGCTCATCCCGGGATCAGCTTGAATGCATCCTGTTTGTGCGCCTTTTCTACAGAGGCTAATTACACAGTTGTGTATATGTGTGTGTGTTAATAGGACAGTAGTAATGATGGAAATTCTGTTCACCTCCTTCCTCGGAAGGTGTGCCTGGTTGCACAAAGAGCAGGAAAGGTCGGTTCTTCTGGAGACAGACATGGCCAAGAGGTAGTAAGTCTCTTCCTCTGCTGGTGGTTCCTGGTCCACCCAGCCCTGCACAGCAAGGGCAGAAAAATGTTCACACACACACACAGGCTGTCCCCAACACACACGCGGAAGAAATCGCCTCTTCTATGAAGACTCCAGCTTGTTATATTTGCAGTCAGAGAGGGCAGCCTTCTGATGCTTCCCACCCCGTGGTCCCTGCAGATTTTGTCTCCTGGGAGGGCCTTGTGGACCACTCTGCTATGCACCAAAGCGCCTTCCCGAGGGCCAGCCACAACCATTTTCTTTCCCATAAAGCCTAGGCCACTCTTAAGATACTTGGTGACATTCTGTCTTGCTACACTGGCTCCCTTGGAGCTGGTTCGACTTGCTTTCATTCCTTCCTTTCTCCCTTCCTTCACTCCTTTCTTTCTTTTTCTTTCGTTTTAGAGACTGCGTTTCATTTTGCCACCAGGCTGCAGTACAGTGGTGCGATCCTGGCTCACTATAACCTCCAGCTCCTAGGCTTAAGTGATCCTCCAGCCCCCACCTCCTAAAGTGTTAAGATTAAAGGCATAAAAGCCCCCGTGCCTGGCCCCAGCTTCATCTTTCTAGCCCCCTCCTCTAAGGCCCTGTTCAGAGCTTTCTAATTGAGTAGGTTCTCGACGATTTTACATGAGTGCAATGAGGCCTCACCTGTTAATAACTGTACTATACAGAATGAAAACATATAAGGACAATGGGCCAGGGGGGAGAGGGCCTGTCTTAAAAACACCAAAGCTTCTGTAGAGAACAAGGCAGAGATGCAACATGTCATTCTAATGACACCTTAGCTTCAGGCAGGATTTGTAAAGCATGCTCCCAAATGTCCAGGGGGCTCCTGTCTGGCTTTAGTGCTCCAGGGTAGGAGGTCGCGTCTACCATGTGGTTCAACTCTGTCACCCTTTTCTCCAAAGGGAAAAGGCTCTAGCTTTAAGAGCCACTAAAGGATTTGCTGCTGTTGGACTTTGGCACTAAAAGAAAACAGACCCCATAAAGAATCATGGTGTATAGACTTTTAAAGATTTTTTTTAATTGAAGTTAAAATTTAAAAAAAGAAAACAGTCCCCAAATGGCCGGTGGCCACACAGCTGCTCTGGAACTGGGATGTGAGGACACCAGACACTCCATGTTTACCCTATCAGTCAGTACCTATCAGGCACTGGGACTGGCAATGGTGACAGAGCAGTGGGTCAAACAGCCATAGTGCCTGCCCTCCTCGGGCTTACAGTCCCACAAGGAGAAAAAACAACAAATTCAAGATGATGTATGTGGAGGGTGCAGTGAATGAAAAGCCCACAGTGCCAAGGGGTGATGCTTTATAACTGGATGGGTGGTCAGGGAAGGGTTCTTTGAAGAAGCAAATAGCAGAGAGATCAGCTCATTCAGAGTTCCCGAGAAAACAGATGGTTTGGGCTGTTTGGGAACAGAGAGGACAAGGTGAGGGGAGGGTGGCTGAAATGAGTTTGCAAAGGTGATCACAATGACCAGACTGGTAGATCATAGGAAAGTCTTTGGACATTATCTTTGGGCAACTAGATGCCTCTGAAGGCTATTAAGCAGAGCCAGGGCAAGATGAGATTTGTGTTTTAAATCTCATGGGGGCAAGCAAGGTGGCTCACACCTATAAAGCCAACACTTTGGGAGGACAAGGCAGGAGTACTGCGTGAGCCCAGGAGTTAGAGATCAGCCTGGGCAACATGGCAAGACTGTCTCTACAAAAAATAAAAACTAAAAGACTGTCTCTACAAAAAATAAAAACTAGCTGGATGTGGTGAAACATGCCTATAGTCCCATTATATTTTTTTAAGTAAAATCAAATCGCTCTCTGGGGAGTGGACTAGAAGAAATAGTGTGAGTGTGGGGAGACCAATTATGAGGCTGGTGCAAAAGTCCAGCGTTGAGGAGATGGTGGCTAAGACTCAGGAGGTGGTGATGGAGATGAAGATAAGTAGATGAATTCAAGAGGTGTTTTGGAAGTAGAATTGATAGGGCTTGGTGAAAGATTGAAGGGAATGAGGAAGAGGACAGTATTCTGACTTGCAGAATCTGACTTAAGCAACTATGTGAACTGGGGAGCTATTCGAGAGTTAAGAAACGGCATGAGCCAAGTGTGATAGCTCACCTGTAATCCCAGTACTTTGCAAGGACAAGGCGGGGGGATGGCTTAAGCCCAGGAGTTTAAGACCAGCCTGTGCAACATAGGGAGACCCTCATCTCTACAAAAAAAAAAAAATTTTTTAATTAGCCAGGGCACATGCCTATGGTCCCAGGGAAAACCAAGGCAGGAGGATCACCTGAACCTAAAGATTAGCCTGGGCAAATAGTGAGGCCTTGTCTCTACAGAAAAGTTTAAAAATTTGCCAGGTGTGGTGGCAAGTGCCTGTAGTCCCAGCTACTCAGGAGCTGAGGCAGGAGGATCACTTGAGCCTGGGAGGTTGAGGCTGTAGTGACCCGTCATCATGCTACTGCACTCCAGCCTTGGTGACAGTGAGATGCTGTCTTTAAAAAAGAGATAAACCTGGCAAGAGGAGATTGGGGCAGGGGTGAAGAGTTGAGAATGGGAGGGGAGGATGAAGAGTTCAATTCAAAACCTGTCAAGTTTGATATATCTTGATACATTTAAGCAGAAATCTGAAGTGGGGAATTGACTATGTGGTTGTGACACTCAGAGGGCAGTCTCTTAGCTAAAGACAAATTTGGGAACCATCAGTATACAGATAGTAATTGAAGCTAGAATCATGGATCAGACTCTGTTATGGGAAGATAGGAAGAAAATGTAACTTGAGAAGAGGATCAAGGAACAGAGCCCTCCAGCAACTCCAACATTTGTGGGTGGAGGAGAAGTAGGCAAGCAGGCTGAGAGGCAGCAGCCAGGGAGGTAAGAGAAAAGCAGCAGTCAGGAAGATGTGGTGTCCAGGTATTATGGAAACCAACCAAAACATTTTCAAGCAGGAAGGAATCGTCAGCTAGGTCAAATGACGCCAAGCGTAGGCAAGGACTAAAGAATGCCACATGGGGTAGACACCATGGCTCACACCTGTAGTCCCAGTACTTTGGGAGGTTGAGGCAAAAGGATCACTTGAGCCCAGGAGTACAAGACCAGCCTGGGCAACAAAGTGAGACCCCATCTCTACAAAATACAAAAATAAATAAAAAAGAATACCATGTGGAGCTGGTATGGACAGGTCCTTAGTAATCTTTCAACAGTTTCAGTAGGAGGGTGTGAGTGGAAGCCTGTTGGGGTAGGTTGAGGTGAAAAGGATGTGAGAGAGTGAATGTAGACACCGTTTCAAGAGGTTTCGCTAGAATGGGAAATAGAGTGAGAACTGAGGAAGAATATGGAATCACTAGAAAAAGGGGCTTGTTTAGAATGAGTAAGCAACACCGAGGAAAGAGATCATAGGGTTCTGAGATTGCAGGAGAGAATAACATCCAAGACATGGCAAGATCATGGGCTTTAGTTAAAAAGAAACAGCTATGTTGTGGCTCTCAGCCCGCTGCCCAACATTGCCTGATTGAAGTCACACATTTGATGTGAAGTATTTAAACCCTAAAGGCTACAGGCAAAATGCAGGCCACCATGGTATTTATCAAGCTACTTTCTCACTCTCTCACTCAAGTACTTTTTCTCTCCTTCCTTCCCCCTCTCATCACTTGTTGGTTTTGCTCCCCTCTCCCTGTTCCTCATTTTCTCTTCCTGCAACTGGCTTCCTAAATACAGCCAGGGAAGATAGTCTTTAACAGCCCCAACTTCCCACATTCCCAGCTTAATAGCCCCAGCAGAACAAGGATCTTTCCTATCAGCATCTCAAAATTAATCTCCAGGAAAACTCTGATCACTGTTACTGTTTCTTGTCTTAACAGTATAACTTTAGACTTCTCTGTATATAATTCCTAATACATTATCAAAATGCTTTTTATATTAATTGGTTGATTGAATCACTGACATTTTTTAAATTTCTTAAGGAACATTTCACATAACTCCCATTCCATTTAATAGAATTAGAGAATTTAGAGAATAACACAGCCAGGTCAAATGTGACCCCATATTACTGTAAAATGACACAGGCTTTGAAGGGCAGTTTGACAGTGTACATCAAAAGCTCCAAAGTAAAATGAGTTCTATGCTTGAAGAACCAGTTCAGCCATAGTGGAATGGCTGAGTAAATTACAGGATAATGACTTAATGGAATATTATGTAATTACTAAAATTATACATGATAAACAGCATAAAAAAACAGTAAATAACATTTGAAAACTAGAGTAAGAAATATAAATATGCTATGAAGTACAAAAAATATGTATACCAAAGGACAAAGAAAGGAATGCAACACAGTAAATGAAAATAATTTTTAGAGCATTGTACAAATAATAAATGTACTTACTTTAAAGGACTCTGAAGATAAAATAATTCACATAAGGCATTTGATACCTTGCCAGGCACATGTTACACTTCAGCTGTTACCTTGGCTTCTATATTATAATTTCCTGAGCATCCACCTGAAGGCACTTGACAGACATTATTCATTTGATCCTCATGACACCCAAATGAAGTGTTGTCATTATCTCTATTTCACAAATAAGGAAACCAAGGGTTGAAAGGTTAAGTGAATTGGATCACATAGCTAATACCAAGGGTTGAAAGGTTAAGTGAATTGGATCGCATAGCTAATACATGGTAGAGCTGAGATTTGACTAGTTTTTGGAAAGACACATACGTAAGCTCCGTCCCAGCATGATTCTAATGCATAGTAGGATTGAAAACCACCACTACTACATACTGAGTACAAAGGGGAAGAAGATTGAGACTCTCCGCAAGCAGGAGATAGTGATTTGCAGGGCAGGGGTCCTAGAAGTGCCTGTCTACATCCATTTTTGAGTATGCAAAGGTACATCTAAATAAGTGGGGCCACAATGTCCTCCTGGGACAAAAAGAACAGAAAAGGTAAGATATTTCAAAGATATAGTAACATTTATCAGAATGAAAGAAAGACATTGGTCTCATATTGAAAATAATGCAGTGTTTAGGCAGAATGAGTAAAGAAAGACCCACAGCTAGACACGTCATTGTGAAGTTTCTGGACTTCATGATGGATAAAAGAAAGAGCTTCAATTACTTGGAGGAAGAAACAGGCAAAGTGAGGGCGGGGAGTTACAGAGGGATGAGATCAGAGAGTGAGGACTTCAGCCAGCCAAAGGGTCCTGACAGCCAGTCTGTTAGGGTGTTAGTGGCTGCACAGCTCATGATAAGAGAGAAAATAAAGGGAAGGAAGCCCAAAGGGGAAAAGTCCTAAGAAGGCAGGCAGATCCAGGAGACAGGCAGTGCTTCTCGCTCTTCCTCGGGTTTCCCCAAAAGAAGGGCCTTCAATTACTATTTGCCTCAAAAGCCCACTTAAGTAAGACAGATTCCAGGGATTGAGATCAGAAAAGAAAAGCACAAATAAAAGTAATCCTCTCATAAAAAGCAATCAAGTTAGTAACACTTTGTACTGACAACTGCCCAGACAGCCTGGTGATCAAGAGCAATGACTTCATAAAACATTTCTGCCACTGCTTTCTAACAGGAAAATCTAGTGAAGTTAAATATTTTCATATGTAAACAGAACAAATACAAATCTCTCCTATGGTTAATTTATTTGTGGACATCTCACCTACTTGAATTTACCCAAATTAGAATATTTTCATTTTATTTCATAATATTTCACTTTATATTACCTAAGTGCCTTTGTAGCAATAGTGTGGAACCCTGGAAAACCTTGCTGCCATTCCATTAAGAAACAGATTCATGATAGCCCAATTATAGTTTTGTAGATTCATATACAATAAAGAAGACTTCATGCACAATAAAAAAAAGAGAAATTATTTAGGGGAGCCAAATCTAACTATATTTAGTTACTGCAAACATTTCTTTGTATCTACTTCTAACATGTAAAACTAGCATGTCACCAAATTAAGCAAAAATATCTTCCCAAACTAAATTAATTTAAGCCTGGGCAACATGGTGAGAACCTGTCTCTACAAGAAATTTAAAAAATTAGCTGGGCATGGTGGTGCATGCCTATGGTCCCAGCTACTCAGGAGGCTAAAACAGAAGGATTGTGATGTGGTTTGGCTGTGTCCTCACCCAAATCTCATCTTGAATTCCCACATGTTGTAGGAGGGACCCAGTGGGAGGTGGTTGAATCATGGGGACAGGTCTTTCCCATGCTGTTCTCGTGATAGTGAAAGGGTCTCATGTGATCTGATGGTTATAGAAGGCAGAATTTCCCTATACAAGCTCTCTTTGCCTGCCACCATCCACATAAGATGTGACTTGCTTCTCCTTGCCTTCCACCATGATTGTGAGGTCTCCTTAGCCACATGGAACTGACAGTAAAATTAAATCTCTTTTTTGTGTAAATTGCCCAGTCTCAGGTATGTCTTTATCAGCAGCATGATAACAGACTAATACAGATTGCTTGAGCCTAGGAGGTTAAGGCTGATCCACGACCATGATTACACTACCGCATTCCATCCTGGGTGACAGAGCAAGACCCCGTCTCAAAATAAGACGGTTTACAATTCTTTAATTCTGAATGCAGAACATACTATTTTTTTGACATTTTTAAAAAGACTTAGTGATAGAAGCATGTGTATACAGTTTAAAATAATAATCATTTTTCTCTAAAGCTATTATTAATATAGCGAATGGTCAGGTTGTTCTGTTAACTTTTCTCATTTGGTTCTGGTCCATTAACAAGCCAAATAGTTATTAACAACAAGTCATAACCAAGTTATTAAACTGTATGGTTTGGGTAAGAAACCTGTGAAAGGAAAATGACTAAATAGCATGGTTCTCTTCACCCTTTACTGGGTTTTCTCTAGTTCTTGATGGTATTCTCTGGTATACTTGGCAACCATCCAGTCAGTAATTGTGGAGAACTGTATGACTGGTTTTGAAATGTGAAAATATATGAGATTGGGAGGTGCCAGGGATGGAATGATATGGTTTGGCTTTGTGTCCCCACCCAAATCTCATCTTAAATTGTAATCCCCATGTGTTGAGGGAGAGAGGTGATTGGATAATGGGGGGCGGTTTCCTCCATGCTATCCTCATGATAGTGAGTTCTCATGAGATCTGATGGTTTATAACGGGCTCTTTCCCCTTTGCACTCTCTCCCTCTTGCCTGCCACCATGTAAGATGTGCCTGCTTCCCCTTCTGCCATGATTGTAACTTTCCTGAGGCCTCCTCAGCCATATGGAACTGTGAGTAAATTAAACCTCTTTTCTTTATAAATTTCCCAGTCTCAGAGAGTTCTTTATAACAGTATGAAGATGGACTAATACAGTAGTCAATATAATTTTAGTTTAGAAGCCAGTAGGTAATAGAAAGGCAATTCAGATCTTCCATCCATGACCTTTTGGTGTGGCATGGGGAGTCAGATAGCTCAAATATTGGCAATTGACAATATTAGACAAATTTGGTGATTTTTCTACACTCAAGTTTAAGAACTCTAGGCATAGAAGACAACAGCATTCAAAGACTTTGGTTTAGATCCTCCCAAAATTGATAGATGGCCTTGGACTAATCATAAAATTGCACAGAATTAAATGAGAAACTGAATTTAAAGCACATTGCAAAGCCCTGCCACATTATATTAATGTTATCAGTTCTGCCTCATCCTGCTGCTCACTTTCCCTTCCATTCACCTCATCCTTGCTGTCTGCCACAGATCCCCTTTCATTTGCCTCATCCTTTGCCCCCTGACACAGATCCATGACTGTGCAGGGGGATCAACCCTGCCATTTGCAGAGAACTTTCAAATCAGAGGTAATTGTTTTTGAGATAGGGTCTCGCTCTTGTCACCCAAGTTGGAATACACTGGCACAATCACAGCTCAATGTAGCCTCGACCTCCCAGGCTCAAGTTATCCTCCCACCTTATTTCCAAGACAGCTGAAACTACAGGCTTGCACCACCACACCCAGCTAATTTTGTATTTTTCTGTAAAGGCAGGGTCTCACTATGTTGCCCAGGCTGGTCTTGAACTCCTGATATCAAGTGATCCTCCCACCTTGGCCTCCCAAAGTGCTATGATTACAGGCATGAGACATAGTGCCTGGCTCAAAGGCAGAATTTTTGACACATTTTTTTAATCCAAATATAGTCACTTAAACTGAGCTCTAAATATGCAGGAGACTGGACATGGTGGCTCAGGCCTATAATCCTGGCACTGTGGGAGACTGAGGCAGGAGGATTTACTTGAGGCCAGGAGTTTGAGACCAGCCTGGGCAACATAGTGAGACCCTGTCTCTACAAAAATAAAAATAAAAAATAGGCCCAGTGTGGTGGCACATGCCTGTAGTTCCAGCTCCTCAGGAGGCTGAGGTGGGAGGATCACTTGAATCCAGCAGTTCGAGGTTGCGGTAAACCATGTTTGTACCTCTGCACCCCAGCCTGAGCAATGGAGCAAGACTCTGTCTCAAAAAAAATAAATAAATAAATAAAATACACACAGGTGCATACACACACACATGGAGGAACACTTGAAAAATAATACAAGTAGCAAGGAAGACAAAAGTGCTCTGGTGAGTGTAACAAAAATGAAGGAAGATGATAAGCTCATGGGTACAATGGATGTGATAATACAAAAACCACATTGAGTACTAAGATGAAACTTGGCCTTGATACAGGAGAAAGGAAGTCAACAAAGGAATTTTACACATTTCCCTGAGTTACTCATTTTAAGAGTCCAAGCAACTGAAATCAGGAAACACCTGTGCTTGTTAACATTAGTTAGGAAATGACTTTAAAAACTTGGACACAGTTTTAGATAACTGATGGCAGGCAGTGATATCATTCTAGCATCTATATTTCCATGTAAATGCACAAGCTATGTTTCTTAGTTTTGGTCCATTTATGTAATAGCAATCAGAGACTCAATGCATTATGTTTATGGGATAATTGTTACACATTTTAAACTTAAAATTGCCTGGGGCCAGACATAGTGGCTCATGCCTATAATCCCAGCACTCTGAGAGACAAAGGCATGAGGATCACTTAAGCCAGGAGTTCAAGACAAGCCTGGGCAACGTAGTGAGTCCCCATCTCTACAAAAAAAATTTTATGTCTGTGTCAAGTTTGTTTGCAGCATTTTCTTTGATGTCCCAGTGAAATTACAACCAGTAAAAAAAAAAGTTATTTATCGTTATTGTTTGTATAATAGAAGTGGAGTCTTGCTATACTTTCTAGGCTGGTTTTGTACTCCTAGCCTCAGGCGATTTTCCTGCCTCAGCTTCCCAAAGTGCTGGCATTGCAGGCATGAGCCACTGCACCCAGCCCTGTTGTTTTTAAGAAAATTACAAGTTAAATCTTGTACCAGTGAACAAGGTTTGTATAATTTATTGTCTTGAAATTTTATTGTATCTCACTTTAAAAAATAGAAGCATATTAGAATACACTTTGTTCTATACCCAAATTTTGTGTTAAACTCTTTCAAAATGTCTTTTCAATGTTTGGTAAAAGCAATGAGTCTTACAGTATATATTTCATATTTTAATCATTGTAATTTAGAAATGTTAATTATAATCACTTAAAGGAATGTCAATAAACTAATGGTTATTGAGGTTAGATTAAGAATACCTATAATTGTGAAGAGTAGTGGCCTGATACAGTAATGAAAGATAGATCTTTAAATTTTAAAAGGAAAAATGTGATTATACATTATATATGTTGTAGACAATACACCAAAACATACATACGAGGACATCCACTTCTGGCCATAGATAGTAGCTAATGCCAGACACATCCTCCCACTAGAAACACCTAGAAATATCCAAGATAACTGATTCCAGGCATTTAACAACAAACATTGCAGGGCAGTGATCCTTGAGAGAAAGGAAACACAAAGCGATCTGCACATCCTCTTCAGCTTTCTGTCTGGGGACACCAGCTACACTAAAAGGAAGTGGAATCCAAGGAAATACGGAAGTCTTGCTGAGCTGAAGAGATCTAGATAAAAGTTTCGAATGGTTGTCATCTCTGAAATTTGTAAGACAGGATACCAGAAAGAAAGGTGTGTGCAGAAGAAGAGAACAAAGAAGATTTCACAAGGGTTCCTGGGTAGCCCATGTGCAGGATGGGATTTAGAGAGGCCTAGAAGAGAGTGATTGCTATGAACAAGGGAACTGGCCAAGATACCACAGGGCTGTACAGTACTCCAAACACAGGAATATTGTCCTAGTCAGAGGGAGAGATCTTAGTAAGCCCTTCATGCATTCAAGTGAAATTCTAAAGAGGCCACACCTTAGAGTAAATACCATGCCCCAGACAAAGGGCCATGTCTCAAGACTAAGGATAAAACTGACATAGAATAAATAATAATAATAATAATAGTAAACAAAACAAAGCATAGCAAGATTAAGGGGACTTTTCAGTAGTTTAATCGCCTGATACAATAAATCTCAATACCATTTAAAAGAAGATAATGTAATTCAGACTCTCTGTAACTCCTTTATAGCAATATTCAACAGTAGGTTAAAAATATTACACATATAAGGAAGCAGAAATATGTGACTCATAATCAGAATAAGACATGGTCAATAGAAGCAGAATCCAAGATAACCCAAATGTTGGAATTAGCAGATGAGGCATTTAAAACAGCTATTATAAATATACATAAGGAAGTGTGGGAAATGATGAATATATGATTGAATAGATGAGAAGGATTGGCAAAGAAATAAACCAAATGGATATGTTAGAAATAAAAAGCAGCTGGGTGGAGTGTCTCACGCCTGTAATCCCAGCACTTGGGAGGCTGAGGCAGGTAGATCACCAGGTCTAGAGATTGACACCATCCTGGCCAAGATGGTGAAACCCCATCTCTACTGAAAATATAAAAATTAGCTGGGCGTGGTGATGCGTGCCTGTAATTCCAGCTACTCAGGAGGCTGAGACAGAAGAATAGCTTGAACCCAGGAGGCAGAGGTTGCAATGAGCTGAAATCATGCCATTGCACTCCAGCCTGGTGACAAAGTGAGACACCATCTCAAAACAACAACAACAAAAAAAGAAATAAAAAGCAAATGTCTGAAATGTAAAATTTATTCAGTGGTTGGAGCAGTTTGGAGATGGCAAAAGGATGGGTCAATTTATCTCTAAGGGAGATTAATAGAAATTATATAATTTAATAACAGGAAGAAAAAGATTGGAAAAATACATAAACAGCCTCAGTGAACTCTGGATCAACCCTAAGTAGTCAGTGCATATATAATTGGAGTGGCAAGCTGAGTGTGGTGGCTCACATATCATTCCAGCACTTTGGGAGGCTGAAGCAGGAAGATCACTTGAGCCCAAGAGTTCAAGACCATCCTGAGCAACATAGTGAAGCCCTCATCTCTACCAAAAAAAGAAAAGATAGCTGGGCATGGTGGCATATACCTATAGTCCTAGTTTCTTGTGGGGGTTGAGGTAAGAGGATGACTCAAGCCTTGAGGTTAAGGCTGCAGTGAGTTCTGATTGTGCCACTGTGCTACAGCCTGGGCAACAGAGCGAGACCCCATCACTAAAATAAAAATAATAATAATTAGAGTCTCACTAATAGAAAGGAAAGAGAAAATAGGTAGAATGAATTTTTTTTAAAAATGGGCTGAAATTTCTCTAATTTGGTGGAAAACGTCAGCCTGCAAATTGAAGAATCAACAAACTCCAAGCAGAATAAATACAAAAAATAAGATAGAGAAAGAAAACATACCAGTTACACTGTAGTGAAAGGTTAAAAACCAAAAATATGGAATAAATGTTGAAATAGAGGGAAAAAGTCAATGACATAAAGGGAACAATGCTATGAATCACAGTTGACTTCACTAGAAGCAATGGAGGCCAAAAGAAATGGAATGATGTCATTAAAGTACTGAAAGAATAGATCGCCCAGCTTTTTTTTTTTTTTCCCCAAGATTGTGTCTGGCTCACTCACCTAGGCTGGAGTAAAATGACACAATCACAGCTCACTGCAGCCTCAACCTCCTAAGCTCAAGTGATCCTCTCACCTCAGCCTTCCAATTAGCTGGAACTACAAATGTACGCCACTATGTCCAACTAATCTTTTTTCTTTTTTTTAGAGATGGGGTCTCAACTATGTTGCTCAAACTGTTCTTGAATTCCTGGACTCAAGCAATCCTCCTGCCTTGGCCTTCCAAAGTGCTGGGATTACAAGTGTGAACCACCATACCTGGCCAGAATTCTAACATTTTTCAAAAATAGAAACA